GTCCCCCCTTGATAATATTAAAAGTTTAGTTGGGACATTTTTTCGTACAATGCTTATTTTTCGAAATATTTAGTTGTCTCAAGTTAAATGGGACACCCTGTATATATATATTTGTTTAAATTACGATTACATGTTTAAAGTATAATTAAAATAAAAGTTACTATTTAATGCGTAATTAACGTGTTTTATTTAAGTTTATTTGATATTTAAAAATTATTCTGTCATATAGCTGAACTGACTGCACTAGTTCAGAGTCTACCTTTGTTTTTCTAATGTGCAGTAAAAAAGATAGACTCTGAACTAGTGCAGCCAGTTTAATTCAGTTCAGCAATAAAAAATATACCTAATTATACATCCTATATAAGTATATAGATCTTCCTATAATATTCTCTTACTATATTCCTATTGTATTCTCAGAATATTCTATGATAATTCGGTAGAACATTCTATAAACCTTCTTAGAATCAAGAAAACAGTCTCAATTAAACGTGCTGATAATATTCCTAGAACGTTACTTATACTTTGTACGTATCATTTGAGAATATTCTAAAGTTTTCAAAAAATATTCATAAAACATTCTTAGAATGTATTTGTGCTATCTGGATATATATATATACAGGGTGTTTCAAATTAAACGCAGGTCCTTGAAGGGGTGGATAGATCTCGATAACGTGAGTAAAAAATATCTATACAAGAAAATTGTGGGGTCAATAGTTTTTGAATAAAATGCATTTGAAGTTAACCAATTACGGGGTTCGCATTTTGCGCCGTCAGGAGCGGCGCGGCATGAATCATTCTTGTTTGCAATACATTCTGCCACATCAATTATATATCGTTTAAAAATTATTATTAACACTATCATATTAGTAAACATTAAAATAAAACTCAATTGTTTTAAACAATCGCTTGTGTATAAGAAATAAATTCTTTAGTTACTAGAGAAACATTTTTATTGCTAATTTCACTATTACTTTCACTTATCAGTTGTTAGTAATTTATTTGACGATGTTATTTTATAATAAGCCATTTAATTATAATTTCAAAGAGTCATACGAATAACTTTAGACTTATTTATTACAAGAACTTAACAACTTAACAAACAAACAAACTTTTAACGTAACAAATTTAAATTTTTTATTATCGTCGTGTAATGTTGAAT